TATTTTAAGATTCAACCATGTTGTTGTGGACACCAATAGTTCTCTCTCTTTTTTTCTTTTTTTGCAGAGTTGAACTCCATTGTGTAATACACTAGTTAGTTTACCCATTCCCCAGTTGCTTTCAGTTTTGAGCTATTACATGGGTATATGAGCGTTCCAGTCCCTCCATACTTTCACTGACATTGCATGGTCAGTTGTTTTTAATTTTAGCTATTTTAACAGGTGTGGAGTGGCATACCATTATGGTCCTAACTTTCATTTCCTGATTGATTAATAATCTTGAACAACTTGTCACATGTTTATTTGCCATCCATACATCTTCTTTGGTGAAGGGTCTAAAGTGTCTCAGATATTTTTTCCCATTTTAAAAATTAGGCTGTCTATTTTCTCACTGAGTTAGAGAGTTTTTAATATATTCTAAATACATTTGCAACTATTTTCTCTTACTCTGTGGATGGTACTTTCATTTTCTTGACAGTGTCTTTCAAAGAGCAGAAGTTTTTAATTGGAAGTCCAATTTATCAATTTTTTTCACTTATGCTTTAGTGCCACATCTGAGAAATACTTGCCTAAGCCAAGGTCACAATGATTTTTCTCTCACTTAGGTTTATAGTTCATTTTGACTTCATTTTTGTATAAAGAGAAAAGTAGGGATCAATGAAGTTACTTTTCACGTGGATGTCCAATTACTCCAGAGGGTCACCACTTAAGATTCACACAGTGGTGCCATATAGACCGATGCAGGTGTCTTATTGCCCTGGATTCCCCAGAGTAGGTATTGAAGGAACAAGTATAGCACAACCTACTGCCTAGGTGCCAAGCAAAAAGGAGGGGACAAAATACAAATGACACGTTGCTTTGGAATTGCTCTCCTCTGTGTCCCCCACTGCCCCTTCCCACCATGTGAACTACCCTTCCATGCTCACTGCTTCAGGGGGGGGATGTTGATGCACCTCGTGGGCCCAAAGGAACTTGGGAACTCAAGGACTTGTGGCATAAACCAGAGGTTTGGGAAGGATTACCTGTGGGCAAGACTGAGAGAATGCAAACAGAAGTGATTAGTGAGGGTCTGTGCTAAGAAAAGGGGCTCCCCATCCTCTCACTGCCCAATGTTCAACCCTAGAGAGTTGCTCACCTCCAAGGAGAAGTGATGGGAGTCCGGCCAGGACACAGGGCCTTGGTCATGCAGCATCCCAGAGCAGGGGACTGACGTGGCAATTAAGGAAGCACAGGGACCCGAGGGCCTGATGGGCCAAAGGAAAGGGACCCAGACCACCCAAGGTGACCTGCAGAGGCTATCAGCCAGGGTCAGGTGGGGTCTGGGGCATCTCAGTGGGTATCTGAGTGGACAAAAGCCAACACAGCCAGGGAGCACCCACCTTCCTCCACACCGAGCACTTTGCGGCCTGCCTATAACCCTGATGCAATGAGACCTCAAACTGGAAACTGCTGCGGGTTAAAGTGAATGGAGCAAGCTGCATTTCCTTGCCCAGTTTGAGTCTGGTCCAGACTAAGAGCTGCACTCTGCATATCTGAAGGAACACAAGCACCGAGCAGGCTTCGGAGTTTGTTTCCTCCTCCATTCTTCTGACAGCTGGGGAGGCCGTCCCCGCATGGAGCGACCCTCCCTTCCCCCTCATCTCCACTTCACACACTAATAATGATCGTAATGACACACCGAATTTACATAATACACTTCTCAGAAGACACTCCATGAGACTCCGTGGAAACTCATCTCCATGATTATTAAAATGCCTCTGCCAGGTGGGCCTGAAGCAGGGGAGCCTGAACCTGCGTGGCAGAGGGGGAATCGGAGCACAGAAAGGAGCAGCGCTTTCTGCAAAGTCACACAGCCTCCACCCTGGTCCACCAGGCAGACATCTCTGCGCTTCCAAGGGGCTCTGCTGAAGCTCTGGGGGGCAGGGGGGAGGAGTGGGAGGTCCTTGTTCATAAAGCCAAGAAGCCACAAAAACTCCAAAATAATGTATCCCCCAGTCCAACGTGGGACCATGTTGAAGGGGCAGCGAGCAGGAGGGATGTTGGCTCTGAGGTAAACAGAGTCCAGCATCAAAAAAATAAGAATCCGCCTTTACCCCTAAATCTTTCAAGGGCTTCTTTGTTCTGTTAACCTTATAAATACAATCTGAGACTTCATAATGTTCATAGTCACCTGCTTAGGGCTGTAATTGAATCTGCTTCTAAATAATGCTTTCCGTCCACTGTACTGGACAGAATTTGCAGCAAGAAGAATCCATTTCTTTACATCCTGCCCAACTTAAAGACAGAAGACCATGACACTGTAAACCATCCACTTGATATGATTAAGGGCAGTTTCTTTTCTGGCACCAAGAGCGCCCTGATGGCACTACACTCTGGTGGGGGCTGAGTAAAAGTGATTTGAGGAGGTTTACATCTCCCTGGAGAGGAAGAGAGCATTCATTTGCATTTATAAAGCATATTGAGAGTTCTGGAAGAAAGTTATGGTGGAAGCACAATTAAATATTTACCATCACTTCTGTTCCCACACAGCGGCATGGGGACCAAACCAGCTGGAAGTGCACGTGCCGCTGTCAGATCTGAAGGCGCCTCCAGGGGACAT